GAGCCCTGGTTGTACAACAGTGTAACTGTGCTAAAGAAGCCCACACAAGGCACATCTGAACACTTTAATCTGTTCTAATCCTCAGAAACTGTAGCCACTGATTTGAATTCTACTGATGCCTGTTATTTTTGTGGTACTTCTTGATGCATTCGCACCTGTTTAGGCTCTCTGGTTATCACTCATGGCATGGTTTGGAAAGCCAAACAAAAAACTCAAACCCAGCTCACATCCTCCAGAAACTGATTCCCACTTCAGAAAACAAGTTCTAAACTAAGTTGCCATCATGCTGAGGTGCACTGACATAACAGGAGCCAGATTTGATTTTGGGGTTTCTTGTGGAGGACAGGATGGGGAGGATCTGAGTTAGCTGCTCTCAATGAAGTGCTCTGGTGTGTGTCAGACTCCTCAGTGAAGCTGGAGTTGTCAGCACTGCTGGGAATGAGGAAGGAGCTGGTGACTGAAGCCGTGTGTCTCGGGAGCTGGGAAAGGAAGCAGGGACATGGACAGAAACCCAAGTGATGCACGGAAAGAAAAGCAGTGCCCTCTCTCCTGAAAGGGCCTTTTATCATGGAAACAAAACTTGATTCTTTCTGCTGAAGGAGTGTAGTATTTTGCTTAAAACTAGGTTTTGTAGTTACTTTGTTAATTATTCATGCAGATAAGGACCTACTTGTTGCTCTTTTTTGGCTTTGTCTCTTGAGTAAATTTATATTTATGTATATGCAAACTTTAAAAAATATTTTTAAATTCCTATCCACTAAAATATTTTGAAAACTGTTACAGCACCAGTTTCTTTTGTGCTGCAAGTTTCTATAGCAGGCTGGGAACATCAGGAGAAAGCAAAAAAACTTCTCTCCTTGCCTGGGGTAAACACTTGACAGCAGTCATAATATTGTGTAAATGCTAATTCCTTATATATTTCCTGTCATCCTTAGCACATAGGTAGATTGTCCTGTTTTGGAGTAAAATGATGAAGCAAAGAGTATTCCTGCACAGGCATCTGTGAGGTGGAAATGTCTCCTGCAGTGACAGGACTGGTGTGTGTTGGCCTGGCCTGGGTAGAGATGAACACTGGGCACTGAGTGGGAGGAGATGGCTGAGGCTTATTGTTAAAATACCCAAAATATTGGGTATTTTAGGGCAAGAGAAGTTAACATATACTGTCAGTTTTGCGTGGATTGGGTTTTTCTAGCACTTAAGGGCTATGAGGTCATGTTATACTACTGTAGGTTAAAGGTGGTAGGTACAGATTAAAAGGGATGGTCTGCATTCTAGATTATTGTTGAGAAATACAGGTAATTGATAGTTTCTTACCTATTGTCAGGTAAAAGCTAACAGGACTGTAATATTGGGGTTCAGTACAAACTTACTGTCAGATGCCTAGTGGGAATATGAGAATGAACTTTTGTGATCCTGCCACTTTCAGAGCCTTCTTTTTTTAGTCACTGTTTGTTTGGGTAAACCCCATTATGTCCCTGCCCCCTCACTTCCCAGGACATTCAAACTGTTGGATAAAGAATAGTCACTGAGGAGTTTGTATAAAACTGGAAGTGAAAAAGATACAGAATTTTGCTCTGACAGAAACAGTAAAGAAGGCCAGACAAAAACAGTAAAAAATTATACAGTCACTGTATGATGGTACTTTGGGGACAGACACTTGCAAGGAGAAATGTGTGTAAGGTCCAGGGTAGGACTTGTACAGGAACAAGTGGACACAGAATATGTACACCTGAGTTTGGAAAAAGTGAGCATTGGCTGGAGGCTGTAGAATGTGCTTTCATAGTGCCTGGCAGGCTGCTTTTAACGTGGGCACGTGTGTGTGTGTGTGTGTGTGTGTGTGCGTGTGTGTGTTAGGGCACAGTTTCTGATTCCAGGGACTGGGCCCAGGTCACGTGGTGCCTTTTACTCCTGGGTGTCCATGGGTGTTGCAACTTAGGTCTGGTTTTATCCTGTATATAAGTAACTTAAAATTCCTTGTCACTGGTCTCTAACAGTGCATAAACACATAACTTGTGCGATGCTTTGGAAGGAAACAAAGGAGTGTGGGCAGCAGGGGAGAGGGGGATTCTGTCCCTCTGCTCCACTCTGGTGAGACCCCCATCTCCAGCCCTGGAGACCCCAACACAAGATAGACATGGACCTGTTGGAGTGAGACCACGGAGGAGGCCACGGAGATGCTGCCAGGGCTGGGGCCCCTCTGCTCTGGAGCCAGGCTGGCAGAGCTGGGGGGGCTCACCTGGACAAGAGAAGGCTCCAGGGAGAGCTCAGAGCCCCTTGCAGGGCCTGAAGGGGCTCCAGGAGAGCTGCAGAGGGGCTGGGGACAAGGCCTGGAGGGACAGGACCCAGGGAATGGCTGCCACTGCCAGAGGGCAGGGCTGGATGGGATCTTGGGCAGGAATTGTTCCCTGGCAGGGTGGGCAGGCCCTGGCACAGGGTGCCCAGAGCAGCTGTGGCTGCCCCTGGATCCCTGGCAGTGCCCAAGGCCAGGCTGGACAGGGCTGGGAGTGACCTGGGACAGTGGGAGGTGTCCCTGCCATGGCAGGGAGTGGAATGAAATTGTGTCTAAGTTCCTTTCAAACCAATCCTATGCCTGCTGTGTTCTCTGGGAATTTGTTGCAAGGGAAGGATACTCAGTGTACTGAAGACAACCTAATAAATTTATAAGTGGAATCCTGCTCTTCTTCACCTGTCAGGAAAATAGTTCCCCAGTCCTCCCCAGTGCAGCATCCATGGAGGAAGTGAGAGTCCTGCAGGGCTCACTGTGGGTCACACTTGGAGGGATTAGTCTTGTTTGGGGTATGTTTCCCTGGTCTTTAAGGGCCCATTTCCATAATTTTTATTAGAACCTGGTTCTGTTCGGTAGTTTGCTGGAATATTCATGTTTATGTGACTTTTGGGACAGACTGAAAATATCTATGAAGCAGCTGTTGCACTGAGCCTTCAGAGCAGGGCTGGACCTATGAGAGATGTTGGATGCTTCCCATCCTTGCAAAAGTCATTGCCAACTGTCCACCTGGTATTTTTTTCCCTCTTAAGCTTACTTTTGTTTTCTTTATCTGAAATAAGGTAGGAAAAATAAAAGAAATAAGGTAGGGTTCAGGTGCTCAACATTTTTCTAGTTGTTCAGTTACTCATTTACTTAATCACAGGTAAATAATCTCAGTAGGTGAGTGGGTGGAAACCAACCATATTTGATCTCAATGACTGATCATCTTTGACTAATAAAACAAAAGGAATGTCATAAAGGAATCACAAAAACCATGCTGTGGGTACATGTTGGAAACATTGGTCAGAATTCTGCAGATGTTGTCTGTAGGTCTCCAGAGGATGGAGTTAAATCCTACTTGCTGGCACAGAGCAGTTTGCTGTTAGATGTGTTCTGTGTCTGGTGTCACGAGAGGCTGGTTTGGAGCTGCTTTAACACCAGGTCTCTAAGGGAACAGGATGTTGTTTCTGTGCAAGGCTTGAACGCAGGGGATCTGGCTTCTCTAAGAGTTTTAGCAGACGGCAGAAATTACCTGTGAGTGTTTATACAAAGGGTGCATTAGGCAGCAGGCCCTGACATTGTCAGGGTTCAGCTGAGTTGCTGCTGGATTAGGTTTCACAAGGAAGCAGCCAAAGGCAGAGGCTGTGCCAGGAGCTGGTGCAGCTCTGCAGTCAGTCTGTTGGCATGAAAACACTGAGGGTTATTTGGGGCATCCTTCCATTCCCTTGTGGATTTTACACTTGCAATCTTGATGTCTCAGCAGACTGGGCATCCTTTTTTCTGTATCTGAAGTTAATCTGCAGTTCTCTTACAGCCCTTTTCTTCATTTCCTCTGACATTTGTGCCACGATATCATCATTGGACTCCTGTGTCTGTATTTGGTCTTCTGAAATGTCAGGAAAGCATAAGGAAATTTCCTTGTCAGCTAAGGCCATTGCAGAGCCAAGCAGTGTGATTAAAAAGGGCTATTTCACCACAGAATTCCTTACCATAACAATTAGCTTTGTCTTCTAATGTCCTTAAGCCTAACAATAGAACGTAATAACTTAAAAGTAGTATATTGTTAGAGGAAAATAGCACATTTTCCTATGCATGCTTACAATTTTCTTTAGAAAATCCCACAGATCTGGCAGAGACAAGGAGAAGTTGGCTGAAAGAGGTGTGTCTAGGGCTGAATTGCAGCTTTCTTATTGCTCTGAGACAGTCTTGAAAGCATTTTAGTTATTTTTAGACCTACACTACTAAGAACCTGTAATGGTTGGGAAATTGCAACCCAAAATGATCTTAATATGTAATGTAGTAATTGATAGTAGCAATTGTGGAGGTTGGAGATAGAAGCAGAGCACATAAGTATCCAAATAAATATCCTTTTCTTTAAATATTTTAATGATTTTTATTATTAATATAAAATTATTCCTTTCAGAGTAAACTTAAATAAGGTAACAGTACATGAATTGTCTGCCTTAAAGAGAATTTTTCACTCTTCACTATGATGCTGTGTTTGGAAAACTGGCTGCTTGTTAGCTGTATTAATGGAGGATTGGAAACTTCTTTTTCCTTCTTGTCCCCGGGGTGGAGGTGGGAATAGCCAAAGAAATCATGAGGGTCTTCATTTCAAACCTTACAGTTCATCCATTGACATTTTATCACTTTCTGCTCTCTATCCACAAGGCTTTGTACTGATGAACTTAGTTAAGTCATTGCCTTTGTTCCCCACCCATGAAGTTTGCAAGACTGGTCAGAGTTTGTGTTTTAGCCCTAAATTTCTGACTGTTAAGGGGGGCTCTGTGCAATGCCTGCTGTCCGTGAAGGCAGAGGGATGTCCAGAGTGGAAGTAGAAGACCTCTGAGTTACTCATGATGTGTGCCAGCCTTGGAAACCTCCTTGGCTTACTGAAATATTTGCTGTGTGGATTGTGTATGTGAAGTTCACTTCTTGTTTGCATTTCCTTTCAGTTTAGTAGCAATAACATACTTTTGTGAGGATTAATTTTAAAAAATGTTCTTCCCTTCAGGACACAGCTTAGGCTACGGCTTTGTGAACTACGTAACTGCAAAAGATGCTGAAAGAGCAATAAACACGCTGAATGGCCTCAGACTTCAGTCAAAAACTATCAAGGTAGGAGCTCTTCAGTGAAAACAGCATTGTAATAAACTTCATTCTGGTGGTAAAGTTTGTGTGCTCCCATGAATCTGGGAGGAGAGTAGTGAAGTGTTTTGAAACAGCTTAGTATTTGAAGGTTCCCTTTCTTCATATTCCCACCATTTTTACAGCAGCAGAGGGACCATTATAGATGGTTGCCAGGCGTTTAAGACGTGCACAACTTGGATGCTTCATAATATTTTTTGTAAATCTTGTTAGTACACGTGCACTCCTTTCTTTATCCAAAAGAACAGCCTGTGCTCTATGTGTAGGATTTGCTCCTGCTGAGGTGATCTATGCAGCTTTCTCCACTACCAGAAATTAGGACAGAAAACTGCACTCTACTTGTGCCATCCTTTTACGAAGCTTTAGAAAATGTACTGGCAGGACAAGTTCCTGATGTAAGCTCAGGTCCAGTGGCTGAGTCAGAACTTGGGATTCTTCGTTGGCAAAAGTGTTTGCTGGGGGCATTGGTGTTGGTCTGTTGCTGTCTCCTTACAGCAATGCTAATATAGTTGTTATCTCTTGGGTTAGCCCAAAAAGAAAGGGCATGTCCCTACATAAGGCCATTCTCCTGTTTGGTTGATTTTCCCCTATTCTCTCTTGGTCCCATTTTTTTGAACTGCAGTAAAAATGCATGTGTTGGTAATGGAGGAGTTAATTAAATTGACTCATGGCAATAAATGGATCTTCCCTGTTAATACTCTGAACATGTGTTTTCATTTCTTTTAAAGGTTTCCTATGCCCGCCCAAGCTCTGAAGTTATCAAGGATGCTAATTTATATATCAGCGGCCTGCCCCGGTCAATGACACAGAAGGATGTAGAAGATATGTTCTCCCGTTTTGGGCGCATCATCAACTCACGTGTGCTCGTGGATCAAACCACAGGTGAGTTCTGGGCTGTGGAAAACTGGAATGTACAGCATGTGTTTGGTGTTTTCTGAGACTGGCAGTACCTAAACTTCTGTAAATTAGACTTGGACAAGCTAATCATGACATCTGCTGTCAGCCAGTGATAGAATTTTAACAGGATATCCATGTTCAGTGATTTCTTTTTTAAACACAGAATGACTCACACTGCCTTTTCCAGCTTACAGCCCAAACCTCAGACCATATTAAAATAGGATTATTGTCATTTTTATCAGCTGCTAATTTGCCAAATCTAGTTTCTTGCTCTGACACTTGCTGGCACTGCAGTGCACTGTGTTTCTGGGCCATGTGTGTAACCTGGAGTGCTGACCTTACCTTGAGTTTACACACATGCAGCTCTTATCCACTGGTCAATTCCAGGCCATAGTTACAGATTTAAAGCAAAACAAAAATGTGTTTTGTCTTTTGTACCAGCCTGGAACTCACTCAATTTTCTCATATTTTAAACCATGTGAGATGTCTTACAGGCTTCTGTGGTTACTGCTAAGCAAAGGAATTAATTTCATACACTTAGTACTGCCCTGAGAGTTCTAATGCATTTTGTGTATTAAAAAAGAAAAAAAAAAGAGGGGTGAAGTTACCTAGTTAGGCACTTGGCTCAGGGGAGACCAAAGTTAAGGTTTTCTTTGTGGTGGCAGTTCTGACTGTTAGTGTCAGAAGTTTAAAGTTCTTACCCCATTATTTCAGACAGTATAACTGTCTGGCTTACACTGTCACCCAGCTGTTCTGTGTTTTACTGGTAGCCCATATGTCACGTATTAATCTGGAGAGAGCTTTTGTTTACAAATACACTTTTTCATTGATTATACATCTGGTGTATTGGAATAGAAGACAATCTAATTCTAGCAATTGCACATTTAACATTTGTAACTGGGATGTGCATTTATACACATGAGTTCAGAAGAAGCTTTTCTGCTCTGTGAGGAATCTGCTGTAGTTCAGAGTGGGCCACTGGCAGCTCCTGGTGGGCTCAGTCTGAGTGCAGGCTGAGAGAAAACTGAGCTGACTTGGTGAGATCTGGAGACTGACATGTCAGACACTCCATGGTTGAGTGAGGAAAATCCCATCCTGACTGGAGAATGTTATTTGCTTTGCCCAACTCTGATACCTGCATGGCCCTGGAGCTGGTTATGTAGGACACAGCTGTAATGAGAAGCAAGAAAAAGACTTGTGGAGCACAGCAAACTTAGTAACTGCACGTCTCAAAACTAGTCATACCTCTCTGGCAGTCCCTGGGGTCTGGAGAGCATCTGGATTTGACAGAGCTGTAAAATGAGATGACAGAAGTCATACAAATAAAATCTCCCCAAGAATAATATAGTTTTCATGAGTGTGCTGAGGCCTGATGCTGTGTAATTCAGCTCAGAACACAGCACCTGCTTTCCCATAGCCTTAATAATGCATTGGCTGAAGAGTGGGTTCTGTTACATCTCACAGTTAATGCCTACAGAGCCTGGGCTTGCCATCCCACCAGGAATGTGGCTATGCCGTGGCTTTAAGCCTGTCTTTCATATCTTGATGTGCTCCCACTTAAGACACGTTTTAATTTGTACTTAGCTGTACCTTCTCAGAGAGTTGGTACTCCAGCTTTTGAAAATTATTCTGTTTAAAAATACACTTTCTAAAATATTTAAGTTTTAAATGAATGCTTTGAGAAGCACTAGGATGAGCAGCATGAAAGTGGAGGAGTCACAGTAAGCTGAGCTCTAGGATAGGCCTTGCTGAGCTCCCAGTGATGCTGGGCCGTACCCTTGCCCTGCAGGGAGGCTGATCTCAGTGGTACCTGAGCATACAGTGCTGTCAGCTCTCTCTGGTGAGCCCATGTGTTGTTGTTTATCAAAGTGCAATCACACCTTGTTTGCTTCAGGCCCAGGTCTTGATGTGTTACATTTACTTCTGTGAAACAGAAAATGATCCTCAACTGTTACCAACAACAGTTTATGATTTTGTGGTTTATGATAAGCTTAACTTCTGTATCTGGCTTTGAAGGTGGTCCTGGGTGGATGTGAAGAAAACAAAGTATCTGATGCATCCCTTTCTGAAATAGAGCTAATGTTTGCATTTGTTCTGGCCGCAGTACCTCCACTGGAGTGCTATTTAAACAAATGTGCCCTTTTAGCTTCACTGTGATAAACTGTGTTTTCAGCCTAAGGTCAAGTCACAGATGAGGAGCAAGGGGTGGAGAGGAGAGCTCACAAGGCATAACGTGTACCTCAGTCAGAAGGAAACAGCATCCAGGGGCTTTTGAAAACTATTAGACTAGGAAGAAAATACACAACATTTTAACAGCTTTGATATTGGTTTGGTACCAAGAGTTAATTTTTCATTGATTTTATGAATAAAAATAATCTATGTGCCAGCTGTAAATAGCCTATGTGGTGCAGGTGAAATTCTAATATCTCCATTAAAAAAGATGGAAGTCCTTTATTATAGTCAAGACATTTGTTCCCTCATCTCTGAACTTGAGTGTGTTTCTAGCATGGAAAAATGAAAACATTTGCAAAAATGTATAAATTCTGTGTTTGTGGGTGCTCTTTAGTGATAAAGTAATTGGAACTAATGGGTTTGGGTTTGTTTTTAACCATCTGGAGTTAATTATTTATTTTTTTAAAACTTAATTTAAAATGTTGAGGAGTTTTTTTGTGAATGGAAATGTCAGTTGGTGATGAATATAATGGAATTCTACCACATATTTTTTAAGTATTTAGTCACTGTGGTTGTTATAGCTGAAATGAGTGTGCTAATTTGTCTTCGGTTTCATAATTTTGTAATTTATCCTCCAGCTGCTGAAGAAATATAAATGTAGAAAACTTGAAAGCTGTGACCATAGAAATACTGAACTTTTTTGGGTTTTGTTTTCAAAGTTATTTTGAGTTTATCCTGAACTTCAATTTTTTTTTTTTTTGTTTGTTTGTTTTTTTTATTGGTTTGGTTACAAGGTTTGTCCAGAGGGGTCGCATTTATCCGGTTTGACAAAAGGTCAGAAGCAGAAGAGGCAATTACAAATTTCAATGGTCACAAACCCCCAGGTTCCTCCGAGCCCATTACAGTGAAGTTTGCAGCCAACCCTAACCAGAACAAAAATGTGGCACTGTTGTCGCAGCTGTGTCATTCACCAGCTAGACGGTTTGGAGGGCCAGTGCATCACCAGGCACAGAGATTCAGGTAGGTTAGGAAGAATAAATGCATTTAAGGCTGTGCTCCTGTTCCCGTGGTTGTGTGGGGAGCTGTGCCCCCGCAGCTGGGCAGTGACACCTTCACTGCAGCATGTGTGAATGAATACATAGTGCACCATCTGTCCTCAGTGTTATGTAAAGAAACTGTTGCATTAAAATGTGATTAAAGAAAAATCTTATTTGTAAAATTTATATTGAAGTTAGTATGTAAAGGTACCTGCACTCTGGTGTCTGTTTCCACTACTGCGTTACAGTGAGGGGACAGCAGCAGCAGGTTCCAGGTGGGTGTTGGTAGGTGTCTGTCTCAACAGATCCCCATTCTGTGGTTTATATATCTGAACACAGAATTTGGCAACTTAATTAAAGCTCTGAATGGTTGGTTCCAGCAGGGAGGTGTTACAATAAGAAAGGAAAACCTTATTTCTGACAAGGAGGTTCTGTGGGATTCCTGTCTGCATTGCAACCTGTGCAGGGTTCTGCCTTCCCTCGAGGCCTCAAGAGTTTACTGATGAGAATATTGAGCAGTTGCAGCTTCCTGTCTGCTGCCAGGGCTATAGAAGACACTGGGCTTTGTCATAGAAAACTGCTTTGGTTGCTTTGAATATGAATTGCTTGAATTGGAAGTGCCTTGGGTGTTCGTGGAGGAAGCTGATGGTTGGAGGATACTCTGGAAAATGCAGTGTATTGACTGTCTTGCAGAGAAGCAATAGGCTTTGAGATGATACATGTTTCTGAGAGTGGTGGTTCCTTGTTGAGAATTTACTCTTTTTTTTATGTTCTACTGTGAGGGATCCAATGAGCTCAGTAAAATTGGACTAAAATCTCAGCCACCTTTTAGCTGTGCTGCTGTTCCAGTGTTGCTGTCTCCTGTCCACAGTGCTGTACCTCAGCATGTTGGGCAGAGCTCTGTGTAATGGGTCTCCAGAGAAAATTTGTACTTTGTAGTCAGTTGTGATTTTATACTGAGAGTGGTTGAACGGTTTGCCCAAGGAGACAGTGACGTTTCTGTCCTTGGAGATGCTGAAACCTGGCTAGAATTGATACCAAAAGGGATTATCTAATTTCTACTGTGCCTGTGTAGTTTTAGCAGGAAACAGGGTACGCAGGATCTGCTTTCTCAGCAAGGATGGTTGAAAGATAAGGGGAAGACATCTGGCTTAGGAATGCAGCTACAGCCAAAACAAGGACTGAACCTGGGAAACTGGGGAGAGCTTTATGGTAATGAGCAAAACATGCACCTGGTGACTGTATATAAGCAACACGCTTATAGAAGATCACGTGCACACAAGGTGGAGTTGTCCCCTGTGCAACCAGGCCTGTCATGAATAATGAATGCCCTTCTGAATGCTACATTGGTGTTAAGGAGTTGTATTTGACCGGATTTTGGTGAGTTTTGGTGACAGCATGAGCCTGAGCAGCCTGCTCCAGGTGCCTTGCTTTGAGCAGGGGCTTTATTAGAGGATCTCCAGAGGTCCCTGCCAGCCTCGGTTGTTCTCCAGTTCTCTTCAGCTCAGGGAAGTCAGCTCAGGCAGCTCCTCCTTTCCCTGAAGCAGTCCCCCAGGCTCCACACCAAACCTCCTGAGCCACACCGAGGAATGAAATTCTGCATTGTTTGCATTTAGGTGAATTATTAAAAAATTAACACATCTGCCCTTTGTCTCAGCCAGGCCTTCAGTGTGTCCGGATCCTAGTCAAATCTTTTTCATTCTTAATGTTCTTAATTTACTTGTACATTTTCATCATCATTCTTCCCCCTAAAATTTATGCCAGGATCAAAATGCATCTTCAGAATAAGGAGTGCAAATAATATTCACATCCATAGTTAAGAGACCAAATACTTTTAATTCAATCTTGTAATGATCACTCAGGAACAATGAAAATTATTTATGTATTTATATTAAGAGTTGCTGGTGAAACTAAATTTTAATAACCAGTTTGTTCATTATCCTCTTAATGTACTATTTAGAGCAGCATTAATGGCAATTGTGTGGATTTCATAGAACCACAGACTGGTTTGGGTTGGAAGGGACCTTAAAGTTCATCTTGTCTCTCCGCTGCCATGGGCAGGGACACCTTCCACTACCCCAGGGTGTTCCAAGTGCTGTGCAACCTGGCCTGGGACACTTTCAGGGATGGGGCAGACTCACACAGTGTTTGTGTAGCTTGGGGTGTCATAGTGGGGGTTAAGAGGAAGAAAATGTTCTGTCTCTGTTCCATTCCTGCTGCTCTGGGAGCTGTGTCCTGCTGGATGTCTGTGCCCAGTGCTTGTTTGTCAGCACACGTTGGCTGGCTGCTGCTCTCGGGGGCAGACCCTGCTGGTGGGGAAAGAGCTGAAGATTTTGGGGTCCCACAGCCTGGCAGAGGTGGGAGTAGAGCAGTTGAAGTAAGGCTGTGCTTTCAGGAAGACACTGTGGACACAAGAGCCCCCAGCTGACTTGCAGACACAAGCATTTCATCTGTACCTTGTCACAGACTTGTGAGAGCTCCAACACTTACTACAAAGCTTCCTTCCCTCAGTCACTCGTGCAGGCACGTCTGTACACGTATGCACAACGCTTACACCATGGGGTCATGGAATTAGTAAGTTGGAAAAGACCTCCAACATCATCAAGTCTGTCCCACAACCCTTCGTATTTTTTAGTGTTAGCTGCAAGTTCTTCTAGTGAGTCTGTCTTCCTTGAAGGATGCTGAACTGAAGGAGTTGTGATTACTCATGCTGTGGTTAAGCTCAGGAACCTGAGTTTGGGCTGAGTCTTGTTTGTTTTGGTAGTGAACAAGACATGATGAATGGATAAGCAGCTTCCACAGAGCCCGCAGTCAGTATAAATTAAAGTTGTGATCTCTGCTCCACAGAGGTTGAATACGTAACCTGATATTTTGATTACATTTCATCTCGTTTTATCAGAATCCCTGTAAATCCAGGATTAAGCCTTTAGTATCTAATTTGTAATTATTAATTTCCTACAGATATTTTTCCAACCCTTTGTTTAATGTTCTTTTAATCCTTTGAGTTCCTGTGGTGTTCGTGGCTCACATCAGGAACTGGTCTTAGTGCTGTGTCCCGCTGGATTCCTGGACTAATTCAAAGACCCAGGCTCTCTGCTTCCATCCAGAGGGAATGATGCCACAGCATGGGGTTGTGTCTGGAGGACAGATAAAACATCTGGGGCAGGGATTTCTTTAGAGTGTAAGATTTGTTTACTTAAAGAAAATAGCAGATCTCCAGGTGCTGAACTGTGATGAAATGGAGGGGTTTAGCTCCTGAAGCATGAGGAGGCTGTAAGTCCCTGTAAGTCCTGTGCTTTTTCAGCTCACCAGGGCTTTATACTAGAGCAACATTCTTTCAAACCTCAGTTATTGTCAGCTCAGTTGGCAAACGCCAAGCTTTCAGACTTATTCAGGGTTGGAGCCAGTTCCTGTAATGAGCATAACTCTCCCAGTATCAGCCCATGAGTTCTGCCCTGAATGCCTGAAGGGGAGCCATTTCTGATAGTTCTTTGATCCAAGGGGAAATGCAAGAAGGCTGTTTAATCCTGTCAGTGATACAGTTGCTCAAACAGCTCCTGTACACCTGCTTGGTTTCACTCCAGTGAAATGGTTTGCATTTTCAGTTTTTAGACCAATTTGTAATTTGGGTGCAAGGTGAGTAGAAACCATTTCATTTATTGAGTAGAAACCATTTCACCCAGTGTAGTATTTCATCAAAGTTCTGGAAGAATATGGGAGTAAAACTCCAGTTGCTTCTATTCTTCCTTACGTGGTTGTTTGACCCATACCCTGATTTTTTCAGGCTTAGAGCTCGTGTCACTGAGTTCTTAACAAGATTTGTGTTGCCCACAGCAGATCTTTTCTGTCTCTAAGAAAGACAGCAGAAGAAGTTGCTTGTCAGAAGGACATTGTCAGTGTAGCTGAGCTCCCGCTCTTTGTGGAACTATTAAAAAATAGAAAGCTGCCAAGCTCAAGTGCAATGGCAACACAAGCTGGGATTAAAACTGATGTTCCTGGTTATTGGCATCCCACCTGTGGTGCTGTATGGAACTGTCCTCAGAGTGCAGGCAGAAGAGTTCAGCAAAACCAGCACAAAGCTATGTTAGGGGAGGTTTAGGTTGGATATTAGGGAAAGGCTCTTACCCCTGGCACTGCCCAGGGAATGGTCCCAGCCCCAAGGCTGCCAGAGTTGCAGGAGCATTTGGGCAGCGCTGCCAGGGGTGCTCAGGGTGGGCTTGTTGGGGTGGCTGGGCAGGGACAGGGGCTGGGCTGAGCATCCCTGAGGGTCCCTTCCAGCTCAGGAGTTTCTATGGTTCTATGAAAAAAATTTATAGGACTTGCATAGACCTAAAAAGAAACTGCTTTCATTCAGGAATGTAATTTCTGAGATTACATCCTCCAGTGAGTTAAACTAATCTCAGGATCTGTTAAATGAAGCAGTCTGTTAATTGCAGAGGGAGCAAAAGGTCATTTATAGAAACAAGAAGCTTATAAAGTAAAAAAGAGTTATGATGGAAAATACACTGTTGTTGATACCTAATGCCCCAAGATGTTGGTGTATTAGGTTAGCATGGCTTGAAAGAACCATCCACAAATAACACTGGCTACAGACTCTTTGGGAGGGCTGAAAAAGCAATGTGGAGGAGACAGTATAAAAATAATTTCAACAGAAATGAGGACACCAGCTGTAAGTGTGCTAAGACTGAAATACTTCAAATTACAATATTAAAGGAATTTTAAAACCACTTTCTCTGAAACATCCTGAGTCTCTGTTGGCATTTGTGTTTGCTGTAGTAGGACGGTCTTTTAAACATCCTTAATAAGTGTAACTTTCTAAAGGTCATCTTAAATTGGCATGGCCACAAAAATCTGTCCTGGTAGGACAGAGAGCTGTGTGTCAGCTGCTCCGGCCCTGCTCATGCAGGCTGTTACCCTGAGCTGAGTGAGAGATCTGGGGTTCCTCTTGTGCAGAGTGAGAACAGGCATTCATCAGATTAGCTGAATAGTATTTACTGTAGGGTTTTTGGTTTTGTTTTTTTTTTGTTTTTTTTTTTAATTACTTTTCTAAGATTTTAGGGCACTTGTTTGGTTTTACCCTGTTTTGTTTGGTTTGAGTATTTTAATAAACCTGTAACATTTTTGTGAGTCAGGGCAGGAAGAGAGGACAATCTGTTTGAAGATAAGTGTATGCAAAAAGCAGACACACTTGCTATTTTAAATTGTCTGTTACAAGCATTTAGATTTGTTGTTTTCTTGCATTTAACACCAGTTGCTCTCCTACAACTGATTGCAGTCCTTGATGTGGTGTTACTGGGCTCCTGGGCAGAGCCTGAGCCTTTGGAGCAGGCAGGGCAGAGCTATACTGACTGCTGGAACCAACGTCAGGCAATTCTGAGCTCAGTGGTTTGAGAAGGGATTCAGGACTGGTGATCTGTTGAGATGGAAACTTGACAGATATTAAGATAAATTCATCCTACCAGATTATTACTCACTTGGAAAGAAGCTACAGAACTGAAGGTGTCTGTCAGAACAAGTAAGTGTATCAAGCATGCAAGCACAGGAACATTTATATACAAAGCCAAAAGAAATACCAGATGTGTCACCTCTTCATCAGATCATACGGGTTGGTATGTCTCATTCACCTTGTGGTACTTCTAACTGCTTTTTCAGTTTGGCTGTAGTACAAGGCTTCCCAGACTTGTTTTTTCTTGGGGCTGGCTGTCAGTGAGTTGCTGCAGCTCAGGAGTGTCCCACTGTGCTCCGGGACCCCTGGGCTGCAGAGCAGCAGCGAGGGAGGGATGGAGTGTCACTTGCTCTGGGGACAGAAGAGTCCAGGAGCTCAGGTGTCCAAGGCAGGGAGCTCTGAGCACCAGAGAGCCTGGGGGAGATGGGCAGTGAGTGGTTCTCGTGTGTGAGTGCACAGTGTGTGTGTGAGTGTGCACTGCCATCCCTCTGCTCCCCTCCCTCCCTGTACTCCTTGAGCCCTCCCTCCTCAAGAAGGGCAGCAGCAGCTCCTTGATGCAGGGCAAGAAAGAGTCAGAGGGGAAGCATTTGGCACTTACTGCAGCATTCACTGCCCAGACATCCCTTCCCTGTTTCCTCCAGGTCAGCAGAGAATCAGGATCTGCCACCGCCCTGCTCTTGGCAGAGAGCAGCTCGTGTACCGCTTTTAAGGGGTTTGCAAATCACCAGTGGTACACCTCAATTTGGGAACCCCTGGTATAGTATCATTATATTTCTATGATCACATGACCTCATATTTTTAAATAATAAATAAGCACAAGGGTTCAAAGTGAGTTTTTGACCTTAACTTTCACATTTCCTGGCCTTTGAGTGCTTAGCTGTGCAACCCTAATATTGCACTAAAATATTCAAAAGCTTTGAATTTCTGGAGTGTAGGCCAGAAATAGAGTAAAGGGGAATAAAAATGTGGGTTATAGGGAAAAGAAATTAATACAAAACAAGACATAAAAAGGAGAAGATTTTTGCTTTTTGTTATGCATGAATCCTGCTGAGGTATTGTGAAGGAGGCAGGATTCAGGAAGAACGGGTAGGTGATTTTAAAAATCCAGTAAAGTCAAATCTGAGTTTTCCTGGAAAAATTATTAAAACCATCCATACACACTGGAATAATAAAACTGCACTGAGCCTGCTCATGTTGTGAGTGTTTGCCTGCACCTGCTGCCTTTGGGTGGAAAGGGAGTAGGTTTTGTTCTGCTTCACAAAAGAAGAAATTAATACATACAATCTCTACTCCTAAGAACACTCATCCCCTGCCCCAGCAAACCCAAAGAAACTGTTTGACTTAAAGAGTTTCCAAACTTGTTCTTTTAGAGGCAAGAAAAAGAGTATGGGGTGAAAAAAAAATCTCCTTCTGTGAAAGAAGTGGGAGATGCCTGAGGGTGTCTGGGGCTCTGGGGAGGTGCTGCCTGTGCCCCCGAACTGAAGCAGTTCTGCAGCAATGCCCTGGACACTCTGAGCAGCCTGGCTGAGTTCAGACAGCCATCCAGGTCCCCTGGGAAGGTGGTCACGTAATCTAGCCTTGCCTGTTCCTTGCCTATTTCTAAGGATAGTTCCCTGTTGATAAAGCAGTTGGAATACTTAACTTTTTTTTCCTGGCAGCTGTCAATTGATTGTCAATTTGAATGGGGAAACATTTATGTGGCGGTTTTGATGTGCCATGTATAAAATATTCATTCTCAGTTGCTTCCCATTCAAGTTAATTTGCTTAATTGAACATGAAATATTGTGCTTTTTATTTGCTAGGTTCTCTCCTATGGGTGTAGATCACATGAGTGGGCTTTCTGGTGTAAATGTTCCAGGAAACGCATCTTCTGGCTGGTGTATCTTCATCTACAACCTTGGTCAAGATGCTGATGAGGGAATCCTCTGGCAGATGTTTGGCCCCTTTGGTGCGGTTACCAATGTGAAAGTTATTCGAGATTTCAACACCAACAAGTGCAAAGGTTTTGGTTTTGTGACCATGACAAACTATGAAGAAGCTGCAATGGCCATAGCAAGTCTTAATGGCTACCGCCTGGGGGACAAAATCTTACAGGTTTCCTTCAAAACCAACAAGTCCCACAAATAACTTGCTCGTGCTTTTTGTATGGAATAGATAATGGAGTGACAGAAGTTGAAACATTTTTGTTAGTGTAAAACTCATTTTGCGCCAATTTTCACAAGTGTTTGTCTTAGTCTAAATGAGAAGTGAAAAGGTTTTATATTCTGGGATGCAACTGACATGTTCAAATGTTTGAAATCCCACAATGTTAGACCAATTTTAAGTTCCTTTAAGTTATTTCATTTAAAACATGTTAAAAATCCCCTGAAATCTTAAGTAGATTGCATTAACTAGACCCTCTGGATGGTGGTAAAATTGAAGCATGCTTTCACTTATGAGACTAACATTTGTTTCATTGAATGTTGTCTGCAAAAACTGGAATTTTCTGAAAAAATATCAGGCTGAATTAATTGATTTTCTTTGGTTTTATGTTGTTCTTCATACCCCTCCCCCTGTCCTTTTGTTCCCCCTCAGTTTTAGTAGTATGGAAGAAAAGTTGAGAAATACTAATGTTTTAGTTGACAGTAAATTGTTTGATAAATTAATATTCATTACTCTGTGTGTAGCTGAGGATCAGGCTTTTTTAAAGTCAAGGTCTTGTAAGTAGTAGCATGCCAGCCTAACTTTAACACCATTGAGGAGGTAAGTTGCACACTGAGCAGTGGCCAAGCTGTCCAATTCACAGGTTTTAGAAACGTGACTTTTAAAACCCACTTTGAGAGGAATGGACCAAAGAGTTTCAAAGAAACTCCGGGAAGATTTCAGAGTCAAAATGAAACTCCAAAAAAACGAGTGTGAATATATGTTGCTACTTTATCAGACTGAATCTCTTCTGTCCAAATATTTAATGCATGGTGCACTACTTACTGGTACATTATAATGCAGCAAGATACTTACTCATTTTCCAAGATCATTGTAGTTGGAATTCCTTTGGCAGTTCTATTTTGTAAAGAAAAACCAGATATAAACATTTGAGCATTGTATTTCTCGCATCCCTTCTAATGAGTGCTAGTTTTTCTATTTTAATAGGATTTTGTTTTGACAACTAGCTTTACTTACTGAACACTCAGCAGAAAAGTACTTACAACTTGCAAGTTAGATATTAACCAAAAAACCCCTTTGATTTGTAGATTTAAAGATTAATCCCCCAGGTTTTCTGCAGACTGCCTTGAAACTTTGAGTTGTTCTGTTTCTGTTAATTTTCTTTTGCTTTTTTGTGTTTTTTGTTTGTTTTTACTTTTGCATTTAAGAACATTAAATTTGATTTTGTTTTGCTCAAATTTTGTTTTGTTTTTTATTTTCTGTTCTTTTTTTTGCTAAGTATTGCACAAAGTGTCCAGCTTTCAGAGTGCTGTTTAAGGAACTGTAGCTCCGCTTTAAGAGAATTTTAATTTGCTGCTTTGACAGATGAGTAGAAGAAAAAGAATTTTGAAACAAGCACCACAATAAATCTGTCACATAGAAATGAGTGTCACAGACTGATGTAGCCCTCAGGTGTGCTTGGGTAGGAAACTGGGAAGGCTGACCCTGCCTGTACAGGTGTGTGAGCTGCTGTGCACAGCTAGAGACTTGGCTCTGGTGTTCATGTAGGTAGGGCAGGTGTGGAAATGAGGTCTGTGGCAGTTTAATGCAGTGTCTCCTTGTTTTGCCTGAATCTCTACCAGCCCCAGAGTTCATTTCAAACTCAAGAAGCCAGTCCATGCTGCCTGCTCGTCTCACTCCATCCCCAGCTGACCTTGCCTTGTGCTTGCTGCTGTTTTTCCTCTCCTTGTCCTCTCCCTGCCATGGGATCTGCACAGCCTGAGGCTCCCTCAGCCTCCACATGTGTACGAGCTGGTGCCCATCTCCAGGGAGGACCTGTGGGAGCTGCTGATGTTCCTGGACCTGCCCAGGACATATCTAAACCCTACAGATAGGCGTTGGCCCAGCAAGCAGCCATCTGCTGGATTTGAGCTCATGTGCATTGAATGCAGGTGGGATTTTTCCTGTTAAAGCACCCAACCTTGCCTCTCCTGCCAGTCTGTTCCCTCCCCATCTCTTGAGAGACGCTCAGTGCTCTGTGGAATGGTGGCTGTGACACAGCAGCCAGCCCACTCCCACCCCCTAAAGGTGCTCTTGGCTGTCAGAGATTTCCTTCCACCAGTTCATCACCATCCATTTATCACGTCTATGATTATTTCCTTTCTGCGTACGAGGAGAGCTTGGGAAGCGTTCTGGGTGTTCTCCCAAGTTCAGGCTGTGTAGCACAGAGAAGTTCTCTTACATGTCCCGTCATTGTTGAACCCTGCACTGTCCTGTTCCACAGGAGTGGGCTGTAGTCATTCCCAGGTCCTGTCACTCTCTTGCTTTATTCCATTTAAGATGAATTTGCTGCTAAACTAAAATGGGAGTTGCTGTTCATCACAATATTTAGCGGGAGTTCAGACTTCCAGCGAGTGACCCCTGCGTGACTCTGTATCAGTAGTGGTTCCAAGCACACTGGCCATGGCAGCAGCACATTGCTGTGCTGCCACTTTTGAAAAACCCTCTTCTCTTGGATGCTTTTTGGCATCACTGTTCCTTTCTTTTTCCACTGCTTCCCTATTTTTCCATCCTTCATTCTTTGCTAAGTGAGAAGGAAATGCAGGACATGGTTGTTTTGTACTGCTACTACAATAATCTCTTTTAGGAAAGGTCTGATTCCAGCTTTCTTTGATAGTTGCTCTGGTAATAATTTTCAGACAATTGGTATGAACAAAGCACTGCTGCTCGAGTCAGGAAAAGAGGAAAAACTCCTGCTAATATCCAGAGCTGATACCAGAAGTAGTGTATGATCTGTGCTATTCTAACAGTCAGTAAAATCTTGGCATAAATAGCTGAAGTCCAGAAAAAATTGTGTATATGTTCTTGATGCTTTTGGTCCTAAACCAAAATGCTTGTGCATCCTACTAGTAAAGACCAAAAGGAAGCTTCTGGGGGTGGAAACTAAATTCTAACAAGACATCTGCCAGGAGTTTTTTTGCCCAAAAGGTGGGAGCAGCTGGTTTCCTCCTCACATTGCTTTGAAGCTCTCACTTGAACAGACCTGTTTCAAGAGAGGTTTTGGCCTCTTAATTCTCAAAAAGTGCTCTGCTTTTTCATCCATCCATTTGATGGAAGCTGGGTGTTTCTGTCAGGTGATGCTTCTATCAGTAAGTGCTTACAGGATCTTTGTAGATCTGAAGGCTGTCTCAAAGCAGAGGTCTCACATTGCTCATGAGATTCAGTGGTCTCATTGAGGTAAGAGTTGCTGGACTAGGATGTGATAATCAGATATTGGAGACCTGAACTTTTTTGTCTGTACTGTGAGATGTGCTACAGGAACAGCTGAGATGGGAGTGTTTTTGGGTCCTTTAGAGTAGGTTAAGAGTCTCTTGGGACAGCCCCCAGTGTAGGTTCTGAAGGACCAGGTGTAGTTCCTGCTGAAAACACAGTTGTTCATGCTGCTGTCACAGGGTCTTATGTATAGATGCTGAGGGGGGTCACTGCATTTGCTTTCCAGATGTCCACATGAATGGAATTCACCCTGTGCAGAATGCTGGCCATGAGCCTCATCACCTGTGAACCTCCTGTTAACCATTAGCACATAGGGAAGTCACACATAAACATGGAAGAGGAATCTCTGTATGGGCTGATGTGAGCTGACAAAGGCACATGTAGATCCTTCAGGTGAGGGGATGGCAACACCAGAAATTCAGATGTGAGCAGAATCCAAGCAGCTCAGTGTGTTCAGTTCTCAGTGATTCCCTGTTAGATGATGTCTGTGCACTGAAATGTTGGATTTATTTTATTTTATTCTTCAAGCTGCATTATCATAAATTTGGTTTACTTGAGCTGCTCCACTCTCCTGTCAGAGACTGGCCAGTGGAGTTACTGTTACCTCCTGAGCCTTCCTCTGCCAGTCCCTGCATCTGTTCTAGCTCTGGGGCCAGGAAAGGCTTCAGGATCCAGCTCTTAGGGTTAGGGGAGAAGTCACATCACCACAGTGGTGTGTGTGGCCTCACAGCTTTTCCTTCCTTTTGCTTGGATATGTTTTTGTACATCTGTATCATGTGAGTATGACAACCATGGAAAATCCAGAGACAAGTCACTGGGCAGGATAAATTGTCACCGCAGTGAACACTGGTTGGTCAGTGTGTGGTCACTTGCCCTTGTCCAGATGACCAAAGGGTGTTTGCATGCAGAGCACACCTATTTTTATAGGGATATTGAACATTGCAGTAATGTTATTTATACAAAGCAGTTAAAAATCTTTTTTAAAAAAGTTTTTTAAAAACTTGGTATAATTTATAGAAAGAATATCCAGCAGTCAAAACCAAAATGATGAACTAACTGTGAAGGTGATCCATTATTTTAAGGCTGAGTTTGGAAAATGAATAGTCCTTAAGGTCCTTCAACATTTGTTACAATTCCATGTTGCTTTAATGTTCTGGGTAAGGTCAATAAAGTAGAAATTCTTGAAATACTTCAGGAGGGATTTTTTTTTTCAGTGCATTTTAAATGGCAATAATTCAAATTCCTTTTTGGATAGTTTATCATTACATATGTGCTTTAAAAAAACAAACTTGGAGAATGTCCCCATGGTTACTTTTCTAACACAATATACAGGTCATATGATAAACTGTTATTCAAAGTAGCCTCCTCTGATAGCTCTGCCTGCAGAAGGTTAGAGTTTGTGGGAGGTTTTTAACACACAGCTCTTGTGAATGCTGGTAGCCTGGTTCAATCACATAAACATGGAGCAGTTTGTCTGGAGGCTGCCTCTGTCAGAAGGTCACCACATTTTTCATTTCCATAATGAAGAAATGTGTCCTTTGTAACTCTGTCGATGAAGCACCTTATTGTTATATTTCTATGTTTAGGCATCTACAAATAGCTTTAGAGGGAAGGGACCAAATTCACCTTTAGCATAAAGAAACACCAACCCCTTGAGCTCTCTGAATGGAGCTGCACTTGTGTTTTAGCTTTTTCTCATTTTGTTTTTATTTTCCAAGAGATGAATTTGTCACCTGAGGTATTTTAATCTCTATTTGGAAGCAGGAGAGTCTTTTTGTGCCTTCGGCAAGTTCCTCTAATGTAGCTCTGCACTTCTCAAGGTTGGCTGCTCAGCACAGTAGAATGGATAAATCCAGAGCTCAAGAGGACAGTGGTTATTTTCTCTGATTATTATATTTATTATTACTGGGTTTCTCCATACTAATATAAAAAAAAGAAAAATGTGGAGTTCATAAAAAGGGTCTCAATTCCCTCCCTCTCGCTTGGAAGAGGCGGTGCCTCCATGACAACCAGTGGATTGAAAATCACCGGTAATTTCTGAGCGTCCGCTCGTAGGTTGATCAGGTACGGCGTCATTTCAGTGGTTGCTCTTTGTAGTAGTCTCGTGTAGTCCAACAAAACCAAACTCAAAGTGTTGCTTTCTCATCCTGCATGATTCAAAACCAGTCCAAGTCTTTATGATCTCTAAAGCATAACTCACCACCCCATGGGTGGGTTTGACATTCAGCTCTGGAGATTCCTTCTAGATCACTCTCAATGAAACAACAACAAAGGTTTACAAATATTTTTCTGTTGAGTGGAGTTTTCAGCACTGAAATTCTTTTTTGTTGCTAATGATGGGAAAACAGTACTGGTAGAACTGCCACCTGAAACCTTGGAAAATTGCTTTTGTGTTCACATTTTAGTATCTCAATATTCTCCTACTGTTGTTCCTTATTTCTAAACATTTTTGAGCAAGTTTTTAGTGGTATGGCTGAACTTTTTCACTTGGTCATTGAGAAGAAAATGACTTGAGACATTTGAAACATAAGTTGGGATAAACCTTTATTTGATGAGTAATTTGAATAATACTGTACTTCTAGTATTTTTATTGATTTCCTTTCCTTTAACTTATGTAACCTTTTGTTTATAAATTAATCTGTTTGTGGGACAGAAGGTTTTATCAATTGCTTTCCATACTGTACAGTATATGGTTACACATTTTGTATATTTAGTGTGTTTTTAAGTTATTGATTTGTTTTATATCAAATAATTTATTTTTCAGGTACCATTTTCATTTAAACTTTGTTTTTACATGGGTTTACTTTAAATAAAGTATGACACTGCTTTCCAAATGTCTAAAATGAAGTTGAATCCCATTGTGTTATTTTGAGATGATTTATGTAAATTAACTTATTTTAGAAATATCTGCAAAAATGTACCAAGTTCATACTTTGGTTGTGCTTCAATTCAAGTGCTTGGAAATTCTCTGCAATGATTTTTGAGC